AAAAAAAACACCTTTTTATAAAATTTCCTATGATGTGACCATTTGCTGCATTTTTATTGTTGCATCATGAAAAACAAATAAAACGACTAACCCGTCCGAAACGGCTCATTTCGTGGCACAGCGGCCGCATTACGATGATAAAACGCCGCCGCCGTCCGCCGACCTGCACCTCCTCCCTCTCCTCCCTCGTCCGACCGAACCATCCGTCTTCATCCTCGCTTCTTTCCTCATTTCCGTCTTCCCTCCCTGCGCTGCTTTCCCTCCCTTTTTCGTAATGAAAAGGTGATTCGTCTTATTCGTCTTGACGAGGTAGTCCAACCACCTCCTCCGGCTCTCTATCATATCACTTCCAGATAATAGAGATGAGGCGTTTTGGAGCCCAAGAATGAGGATTCACAGCTCTTGACTCTTCTTGACCTTCTGAATCTTATCGGGTTCGCTCATGCAAATACACTAAAAGTATAGGCAAGAGGCCACGGGAGAGCGAAGATACAAATCTGTTCATTCAGGTTATTGCTTCCCTCTGTTATTAACAGATGCCTAACTGATCCAAACATAGCCGGGGATGTGATTAAACGAGGCCTTCTGAGTGACACATCATCGCCGGCGGTGTCGCTCGACGGCGCTGGAGGGAGGATCGGCTTTCAAGGTGTTGACAGGGACGGAGGGGGGACGTTTACATGAAAAGAAACCCGTGATGGCGCACAAGGCACCACGCCCACGGCCTCAAAGCCTTTTTTATAAACACACAAAGATGGCTTCGGGGTGTTCGCGGTCGACGGTGCAGGACACAAGGAGGTTAGCAAATATTGACTCCTGTTGCATGTGTGTTTAGCAAAAAAGAAAAAGACGTCACCACAAGTTTCTCATCCATAAATTAGGTTTAAAAAAAAGGGGTCCAGATAATAATACAGCTCCGATCTGTCTCTTTTTGCGTGACTTCATAAGCAGTAAATTTATCTCGGGCGCTGAATTATTCAGGCCTCCAGGCGACAGGGTTCCCACGCCGATGCCAGCCTAAGTGCCCTACATCTTATCTTTGTCTCTGGCTATCAGCCAAGAGGACGGAGCTGTGGCTCGGAGGGGGGAGAAGCTGGGTTTTTTTTTTTTTTTTTTTAGGGAAACATTTGGGACCACAGGGAGGAAGTCTAGTCAGTGTTTAACACCTTTGAACCGCATCAGGGCCGCAGGAGCGCCGACTTTATGAACTGGCTCGCTGCCCGCCGTTCTTTAACTCCACTGAATCCCAAAAAGGTTTACGCTTGTCAAACATGTGCAGTGAGAAGGCAGAAAGGACTGGCTGGGCCGGCGACACAGTCCACCCTCTGGAAATAGAAGTAGGGCGTCGATTCTCACAGATAGAAAAGGTGAACAGATATATGACCGTTATATCTGTGTTAATTTCTCCCTCTTTGTTAAATTAAATGGGCAGGAAGTAGTATTCTGGTTGAATAAACCTTTAAAAACACATGTAGTTAGACAGAAGGTACTATTTGGGTGGAACTATACTTTAAAACCATAAGTGCTCAGACAGGAAGTAGTATCTGGAGGGAAATCAACTTTTAAACCAGGAGTAGTTAGACAAAGTGCTGTCTGGATGAAGTGAACCTTTAAAACCAGAAGTACTTGGACAGAATGTGGTAGTTTTTGCTTGAAATGAACCTATAAAACCATAAGTCCTCTGGTTTAGTGGTGTCCTGAGAAACGAGGGTTATGAGATCTGGAAACTGTGGCAGAAACATTATGTTGAATTAAATTGTACTAAACATTTGAAGTATAATTTCTGTGTTGTTGAGTTAATTCATGTGGCATCAATTTTGGCAGAGGCGTGTGTTCTGGTGGGGATTTTGACATTTGACCTGAAAATAGATGAACATTTGGTATCAGATGTTTGGACGGATCTGTACTAACATATCAATCAGTGAAAGTGGAAAGTAACGTCAGTTTATCATATTTTGTAAAACTGATATATTTCACTTTTTTTGGCAGTGTTTTGACATTTTTTATTTTCTAAGGTCCTCAATGTTAGTTTCCAATTAAAATCTGTCACTGCACGAAAAATAATTATGTATTAAAATTAAAGTTGA